AACAGCCCTCGGATTAATAAAATATATAGTCGATATACTTTTGTACCAGACCATATTAATTGCCTGTTCGGCTAGTTCTTTAGTGAACGCATCTGGCGGTCAGAAAACCGGCCCTTTACAATATTAATATGCACATGTCTACACTTTATGGTCTGGCTATTTTAGTCATTCGAAGGTATTTTCTTTTATCTTTTTTTTATTCAAATTATGCAGCATCTTAAGTTTTTTGTTATTTAAATATACCATTAATAGACTCCGTATTATATGTATATTCCATGTATATTCCTAATACTCGTATATATAAGTAATCAATACGTGATTGACATAACACCGAAACTACTGACTCTCGAAATATAAAATTTCGCATAGGGATTTCTTATAACATAAGTGACCATTTCTCGTAACTCTTAATAGAACGAGAAATGACAATAGATTGCATGTGTCAGGAACACGTCACAGGAACAGCTATCTCTTTATTACACTATTTTTTTTTTACTAAATTGTATTCAAATTCGTTCAGTTATTTGAACATAATTTAGTAAGGAATATCTAAGCTTGTAAAAATATAATATCTGAGGTTTTCCCTAAAGATTACAGTATGAGGCTCTTCAAAAAAAGCGTATTAAGGTTTCTTCAGGATAGACAACGCGCATTTGATCTAGTGTTATAAATGTGCATTGGCTATAGCGATCGCTTAGCATCGGATGGGCTGTATTCTTGTTTATCACCATCGTGGTATAAAAAAATCTAAACGTCTTATACCTACTAGTAAAATTTCAATAATTTGAGCCAGCTTAAACTATACGGGATCAACACGGGAGTAAATCCTATCAATTGTAAAAAAATATCAAAATCGGTTCAAAATTGGTATCTTTACCAAATAAAAAAAAAAACAAGGCAAATTGAAAACATTCTTTTCTTTTTGAACTTGCCTAATAAATTGTTCGTAATTCCATTATTACGAAATTTAATAATCATTCCATACATCATTTCCATATTTACGAGAAATATTGACTAAGTCTAAAGTTTTTAAAAATATATACATACCATTATTTTTAGGAATACATACAAATGTCTCGATGTAAAAAGTCAGAACATAGTTCAAGTTTGTACTTTTTTTGTTTTTTATTTCGCTTTTATAACAACCTATTCGTAATACTTGAATACAAAAATTTTATTTTTTCCAGCCAGGCAAAATTTACAAATGAGGAAAACATATTATGGAGACCTATTGTTTATTCTTGGTAGTGAGGTGGTCACTTTGCCGAAAGTTATAAGAATACAGTTTTCGCAATTTTTCAACGTGACTGAAAATTTGTAATAACTGTATATTATGGGATTTCATATTTTTATTCAATAACAAGTGATAATTATGTAAATGGCGCACCAATAATGTTATGTACATAACAATTTACAAACGACGAGTATTCAATATTTATATTAAAAAAACAATTTAATCGTAATGTGTTTAATATGTATTCATCATTTAATATATATTTCCACCAACCCTAACAAAACAATATATTGCAACAGTAGTAGCTGATCATAAGCTTTAGGGCAAAGTTCCATAGGGAACCATATGACTATGATATATGTATATATTAGATAGCATACAACCACAGCTATCCTCTTAACGTCACTATGAATATGTATTAAATATATTCAAATCTTGGAGAGACAAAATATGCTTGGCACACTACTGAGAGGGAATTTAACCCTTTGAGTGCCGACGAGCGCCATCGCGCTCGTGCGCATTGTAACTAAAATTGCCACGAGCATCATAGTGCTCGTGAAATCAGTCGCTGTTTAGTTTGCTGTAAAAAAATATTAAAATTGGATAATTTTTGGAGGAGATACAGTTTTTTTAGAGACAAGGGTAAATGACATCAACACGACAAATATTTCTTTGGCATTTTTAAGTAGATATGAGTAAAAATCAATGGCACTAAAAGGGTTAAAAAAATATATTCTCAAATAGCTGCATCTCGCAGCTTTGAGAATATATTTTTGCCGTGAGAATTAGTACTTAAAGTATCCAATGTGCTAAGTTAGAATAGTGTATTAAATTTCATTTAAAGTCATTCAGTAATTTTTGCTTGAAAGAGTAACGAACATACATCCATTGTTTTCTCATTGTGATTATTTCTTGTAATTATTTATATTTATAATAAGTTTACTATTGTAATCTTTTGGAGGAAACAATAAAGAGTATCTATCTATCTATCTATCTATCTATCCATCCATTCATCCATCCTTCCATCTTTACAAACTTTCACATAAATAATACTCATCATCGTCATTTCAGCTGTTATCCGTCCACTGTTGAACCTTCTTCATAAGGGGAGTTTTGCCAGTAGTTGCCACGCTTGGTAGGTAGGTTGGAAACCGCAGTTAGGTCTTTAGAGATGTTTTAAGAGGAATGCTGCTGCCTATCTCTCGACCATTTAGTTTTTAGTTTAGTCACAGGAAAGAAGGGGTGGCCTATTCTATTCTAGTATTGCACGGACCACCCGGAGCGTATATACCATAGAACATATATACCTAATATTATTAGGTGCATGAAATAAAAGCTGTGAGCAAAAACTAACAATGTAAATATTTTTGTAATGTGCTATCTAATTAAAGCCTTTCATTTGATACCCAGTACTAATCTGACTTTATATTCTCTAGAGAGCGCAATATTTAATTTAATGAGAGGTGAAATATCTTGTAACTAGCGGTCAAATAAAAATAAAATGTTATATCGTTTCATATGATCTCTAAATATATATTTCTATATAGTAATATAATTATGAATAAAGAGAAAAAATAAGTATATAAATAAATCAATAGTATTGTACTAATTTAATTAATTTACAGGGTATAGAGGCGTAACACCTTAGTTCTCAGGTATGGCTTGGCGTGAGAGATATCATGGGCGAAACAGTATACTCTGTTATGTCCATGGTACTGCTCATATCTATAGGCGACGGTTACCACTTTCCATCAGGTGGGCCATCAGCTTGTTTGTCATTCTAAGTAGCATGAAAAAAGTTACATCTTAGATTATAATTACATAATATTAAATATAAAATTAACCAGAAAAATAGGGGGGCTTACCCTCTTATCAAATCAATAACAATGATAATTTATTAAATGATCCTAATTCATAACAATTTTATGGAATCACCTGTATAATTATATTATATTTATTTTCTAAAATCACTATGTATAAGTGCGTGTCTTAAACTGATCTAAAATACGATAAAGAGATGCATTATTTCAATTTTATTATAGGAAACGAGCAGTTTCCGGAACGAGCGGAAGTGGCGCCCTCAAACATATAGTTACTAGTTACTGGCACCCCGTTTTAATCCCAATGCTTATATTATGCATTTCAATAAAAGCACGCATTCTGATATTATATGTTTCAACCTTCGATGACTGAGCATTTAAATTATAAAACAACGCGTCGTTAATAAGGAAAATTGTTAAAATAATTAACAATTTCGTTATTATCATTTGCTTTTATTATAAACTACTAATATCAATATTAAATATAATACGATAATAACTAAAGTAATGCAGCACTAATGCTGATACAATATAATATCTTCATTTCACATTGAATTATATTGCTAACTAACTTTTAGCCGAGTCTTCGTAGGCGATTGAAAAAACGTACTTTGAGTATTGTTGCGTAGTAATTAGCGAATACTTTTCATTAAATTTATGTTTCTATTCCAGGCCCTTACGAGGTAAGCAGAGGAAACCTAGTGCCAATCGTCATATTCGTTTGCAAACTTCCAGCCTAGAATTTATTTAGACATATAGAAGAAATAATTTTAGTTATGTTTTTCAAATTATTCCAAAAACGTATGTAAGCTCTGAAAATAAAACCATTTCTATTAAAAATGCATATTATCAAATTGTTAATAACTACCTAATGTCGCTTAAATCTTGACTAAAGCTATTTTTATTTATTTTAGTTTCATATGGAGGCAATATTTTGTTTCATCTCTTTCTCATTTTTAAGTTTTGACGCTAAAATTATAAGTATTGTATTTGGTAGTTCTTGGGTTTAAAAAGTTTATAAAAAACTAGGCAATAGATGACGTTGTTGGTTATTTAGATATAAATAATAAAATAAATAATTTTTAAATTAGTTGCGATTAGGTTTCGGCATCAACATTTACTTGATGTTTTAAATTTCTACTTGATGATAGATCGCATTGGCCTTATTACGAATAAAACAATTTTTTTTATGTAATACGCACTAAGTATAAAGAACAATGCCCCACTGCTCTGCTCCTATAAGTGACAGTGTGATGACATGCATGTTAATTTAATTTAAGACCTTTATGCAATGCATAGTGAAAGTTCCATTAAAATCAGTTCATGGGTCTTTGCGTTACTCCAATTACACATTTAGAGACAATAATTGAAAAAATTTTCGACAGCATGACGTACACGATAAGTATATTTACATTGAAATTTCTAAGCAATATATTTTAATATACATATAAAGCAAAGTGCCATTGCAATTTTATTATATGTAGTATAGATACATCGATTTTATTTGACAATAGATGGCGTTGTCCTTATTTTGAGTAAATATCCCTCTCATTGATAAGGAAGCTAACAAGTTGACCGTTCATCTGATAAAAAGTGGTTACCGACGTTTATAAACATTTGCAACACGAAAGGGGTTACGTTGCCAGGTTTTCAAAAAATGTTAAGTATCATATACATTACACAGTTTGTTTCAATAAAATAGAATACACAAACGAATAATTGACTCCACAGCCAATGCCCAATAGTAGGACAAATAAAATATCGATTTATTTGATATTAGATTTGTTACTGGTTCCATTCTGAGTGTCTTTGTGATATTATCAATAAAATTTGTTGTTATTCGTCATAGAATAGGTACATTGTGATTTAATTTGATTGATAGTGTATCTGTATTAAGAGTGCAATGTATGGAAATAATAATTTTGTAATAGAAAAAAAAAACTTACAATTAACATTAAGATCCACAGTAGCATCTAGCTGTTGGCCTTCTGGCATGGCTCTATTCCATACGACGCAGCGGAAGGTAGCGCCGTCGTCTTCCCGCGTCGGGTTCAATGTGATCGTGGAGATTGACGGCTCGGCCCTTGTCTTTGCATGAGTCAGCTCCGCTTCCAAAGGATACAGCGATCCTTCTCTGTACCACCTGTAGACAAATGTTAATTAAATATAGAAATCACAGATGATCCATTAAGATCTTGTAATGAACTGTAATAATATTTTTTTACCGGAGAGCAAATTTTTATTTTTACTTTCAAATTTACAAATAACCTACTATATTGTACAGATTTGTATACGTGAATTAAGACAAAAGTAACCTATTTCAAGTCAACATCTCATATATTCAAATTCAAATTATTTATTTTATTCAAGTAGACTTGTTTACAAGCACTTTTAAATCGACTTTTTTTTTTAAATCTACTGTAGGGTTCAGAAAGTTTAAAAGAATAACTGTTGAGTTTCTTGCGGGCTCTTCTCAACAGATATTCTCAACAGAACTTTCAAACCCTGCAGTAGATATAAAAAAGTCGATTGAAATTGTAATAAAATAATTGTAAACAAGTCTATTTGAATAAAAATTATTTGAATTTTAATATATAATATATATTCTTTATTGCACTTGTAAGTTACATATAAAATAATCTATTTATAAATGTTGTGAGCAAGGGTGGACTTATCTCTGACAGAGATCTCTTCCAGTCAACCCAGTACAGTAAGAAAGCATTTCGTTAGCGGGCAGCTGAAGTGCTACAACTATTAATACGTAAACAAATATACAGTTAAATAGAATATTAAAATATATAATAAAATATTACATAAATACATACACTATAAATACATACTTACATAATAAATACTACTTATATAATAAATGTTAAAATAAATGAATATACTACTTACATAATATATAAACCAGAGGGAGACTTTGTACGAAAGTCGGTTACTTGAGTACCTCTGTCCCATTCGTGTTTCAACCGTAAAGCAGTTGTGTTTGCATGGCTGTGTTTCGGTTTGAAGGGTGGGATATGGCGTGAAATTACTGGGTACGGAGTAATAACACTTGAGTCCTCAGGAATGTCAACGCATGTGGGGTATCATGGGCGAAACAGTATACTCTGTTATGTCCATGGTACTGCTCATGTCTATAGGCGACGGTTACCACTTTCCATCAGGTGGGCCGTCAGCTTGTTTATCATTCTAAGTTGTATAAAAAAAAAATATTATATAATACCATTTCAGATATTTGGGTTCATTTTTTAAACTTATCTTTAATACTACAATTTTTATTTAATAATTTAACAAAACTAGGTATTATCAAGCAGGCCACATCGTAATTTTGAATTCATAGATAGAGAATGGTGTTTCAGATTCTATTTCATTATACTCGTAAGCTGCAAAGAATTAAATTGTGCCTATTCTTATTTTACTATATATATTGCTTACATTCCGTTTTCGAGACTAGGCACATTTTATTAAAAACCAATAAAAATGAGAGCAGTACATTAGTAAAATGCCGAACCGAACAGCGATCTATAATTAACTTACATACAGTTCAATGCTTTTATTACATTAGCTTCGATTCTAACGAACAAGTAGGTGTTATTGGAATAAAAATTAAGGTTGTTATTACAATATTTATTTGTTTAATAATCTTTAATACATCTAAAAAAGGGGAAGGCCTATTTTCAATAGTGAACGGTTAACGGGTGATACGATGATAATAAACAGTACAAATGGCGGACTTAACACCATATGGTGCTATATATCAGTCGACCGTAGACAGGAATAATAGAAAATATAATTGATGGTAGAACGTAATGAGCAAGTAAATGAGAAAAAAAAAACAATATATGGTATTTACATGTTATGAAAATTCCAGTGTATACTTGTATAAAAATAACAAATATAAATACAATAATATAAAAATATATAAATAACATATATATATATTACTCATATACATTATACATACATATATATAATAAAAATAATGTCAGACGAATAATTAAGGCTGTTTAACAAAAAAAATCCCAACATCAAAACCATTTATTTTGAGTAAAAAACTGAAAGACTGAATCGATTTTGATAAAATTTCTATGCAACCAATTTATAAATATATTCTTACAAATAAAAAAATAATTTTAGAAATTGGTTTATAACTGACGAAATTATGAAATAACAATCTTAAAAAAATACAACCGAATTGAGAATCTTTTAAAAGAGAGAACTTTTTGAAGTTGGTTGAAAACCATTCAAATACTAAGGAATTATCATCTACCTACATATGCCAGCACCAGACAAAGCAAAATGTCTAAAACGTATTACGATTCTATATCTATTAACATTATATAGTGAAAGTCTATCTATTTATTTCATAATCTTTATTTTTTTACTAATATAAAATATGGTAGTTAGTTTCTTATATCTTGGTGCTATAATGCCTTAATAAATCGTCACAAAATTTTTCATAAATTTAGTACTATGACTAACTTGTCCCAGGTTACACAAACGAAGTCTTTGGCACAGTCAGTATATACTGTTTCATATTATTAAACTAGCAAAGTGCATTAGATCTAGTTAAAGATCATATTCCATAATAAAAAAATATTTCAATGAGGAATGTGGAAGACATTATTACGAAATATATGGAAGTAAAATTATTTTAATTGACAAATCGTCATTGTCGTAGAATATTGACGGATCTGACGAAGATTGCAGATAAAGATCCGTCACTATTCTACGATTATGACGAAATATGTTTAGTTTATTTTTAATTCGCTTACAACAATCTACAGATATTAGAATACCTACTAAAATGTGTATGTACGTAATCGGTAAAGTAGAGTAGATAGTAAATATATAGTATAAATGCTTACTTTAGATAAATATCTTTAAAAAAAAATCTTTTTGTGGAGTAATTAGAAAAATACACGACACGGACAGCTAAAGAATACGGATTCAAGTCTTGTCAGAAGTCTTGAAATATCGAATATATTTCAAATTACCTAATTGTTCAACCCCGTCAATTGTTTGTGACCTAATAAAGTAGGGTAGATAGTAAATATATAGTACTAATGCTACCTTTAGGTAAATAACCGAAAAAAAAATTTTTTTTTGTGGAGTAATTAGAAAAATACACAACACGGACAGCTCAAGAATACGGATTCAAGTCTTGTCAGAAGTCTTGAAATATCGAATATATTTCAAATTACCTAATTGTTCAACCCCGTCAATTGTTTGTGACCTAATAATACATACATTTCTATTTCACATTTCTCACCGTTGCTCGGATATAAAGTTTCACCGCCATGCCATGATCGCTTTTCGGGCTTTCATTGGAGACATATCGGAACGTTACTACTGGTCATATCATTTCATTGAGGCCGTCCCCGCTTTTCCTCCCCAATTCCAAGTCTAATTGAATCCATCCGCTGCCTACATGAAATTTATCGCCACATTTATCTGCTTTTTTCATCTCTACCAACGCTATTCTTAATACGTAATAACGTTTAATATTATTAACTGTGAATAGGGTAGTACCTAATTGAAATTCTTATTCGTTTTTACCAACATTTACTTAATTTACCAAAAATAGCTTAGTAAAAGTGTATAGAGTGTTTTTAGACTAGTATTATTAAGTATATTTTACATTACAAAAGTTGTAGCGTGAAACTCATTTTACGACGTGAATTTTATCAATAGTTTCCCGTATAAATAAAATATAATTTTGTAATGTTATATCGTTTCATGACTTTTGTATGCTGCGCGATTAAAAAAAACTAATATAAATAAGTACCATATTGGGCATATTACACAGCGCTAGTTACTAACAACCATGTAAGTTAACCAGTGGTTTAATGCTTCTAGCATGGCCCGAAATATTTATATGATAATTCAGGACAAAACACTCTGTTTAGACGTGCTTTTTTTTTGACATGCATTCTTGTCCGTGCCCTAAATAAATTGAACATCAGAAAATTAATAATAAATGTAAAAAAAAATACGTCTACGGTACAAATTACAGTTAGAAATACTCTTTATTGTCAACTCCCATACCAATAATATCTTAATGTAATTAATTATAAAAAGTAAATATACAAATAAAGCCTTATCTTTGAAAGCGATCTCTCCCAAGCAATCTTTGGATGGAGCAATTTGATTAAGTCTTGTTAATTACAAGGAGTACACTTCTTTATTTACCTAACCGTAAGAAAAAACCTAGATGAATATCAGTAATAACAGTTGTGTTCATGATAATATCGTCTTCGGATAAAATTATCTATGTGACTAGTTAATTATGTTGTCAAGCAACGTGTAATGTTGGATTACATTCGTTACGCTAAGTTGTGATTTGATATTTAGAAAACACAAGTCAGGAACTAGAAGAAATAACATTTAATATTATCTATGAGTACATAAAGTTAACAAATACATATTTTATATAACTTCTGTTTATGGCCAAATAGTGTTTTAAGTATAGTCTATAAATAAATAGTCCTTCTAATTCGTAGTACACACATTCTAATTGATAAAGTAATATAAATAAGTATTATACATTATTTATTGCTTAATTGGATCAAACCCATCCGTAGAACCAAATAGAAACCGTATCACTTCTACGTCACATTTCAAAGTGTCTTTATATGTAGATAGGTAAGACACCATACCATAACTATATGATTTTAGACACAAATACTATTGATAATTATTTCTTGTACCCATCAAGATACTCGTATAACTATCATTATAACAACCAATTAATGGGGCTCGGTTCTCATCCTAACAACAACAAAGTAATTACTAGTGAAACATTTTTGTGACAGACTTCTCTAATCTCTATACTGATCACAATATCGTTGAATAGGTCTTAGATACAATAAAAATATCAGTTGATTGTTTTGCATTAGGTTAAGGCCTATTTTGCAAAATGTGAGTCTCGAAAATGCATCTAAATGTTTCTCTTCATTTCCTTTATCACCGATCCCAAATAACGATAAGGAGTCTAATCGGGCACACATTAGATAAATAAGATAAACTCAATAGATGTAGTATATATTGCAGTAGCTTAGTTTAAGCATGCTCATCTTCGGATTTTGCATTGTATAGAAATCGAACCCATTATGGGTTCGATTACAATGCAAAATTTGTATTCAAAAGTATAATTGTTTATCTGGGGCTCTATGTGTTATTTTTATGAACTACGTTGATTTTTCATATATATTATAAGTATATATTTAAAAAGTTATTAAGTACATCAATTACTTGTTTAATTCCCATAGTATAAGCTATGTTAATGATGCGGTAATAAACAAACTCCTTTCCCACATACAAGAGAGTCCCTCTATTCCCTCTTTCAAGAAGAGGTTAAATCGCATTTTCTTTCCCTTGAGTAATATTTTTTTTTATATTTTTCTAATTGAACTGTCAAATCTTAAAATTATAAAACGAAATTTCTAATGTAAGTAGTATATTCATTTATTTTAACATTTATTATATAAGTAGGTAGGTATTATATGTATTTATAGTGTATGTATTTATGTAATATTGTATTATATATTTTAATATTTTATTTAACTGTATATTTGTTTATGTATTAATAGTTGTAGCACTTCAGCTGCCCGCTAACGAAATGCTTTCTTACTGTACTGGGTTGACTGGAAGAGATCTCTGTCAGAGATAAGTCCACCCTTGCTCACAACATTTATAAATAGATTATTTTATATGTAACTTACAAGTGCAACAAAGAATATATATAATAATATGTTCGGTTTTTTTTTTAAAATGTTCCAATTTTATCGTGTTGTGACTTCTTGATGGAACATCATAATATCGATTAATTAAAATACTTTGTTCCAAACTTACTTAATTGATGGCTCCGGTGATCCTCCCGAGCTGGAGCAGGCGAGTTTAAGTTCTCGATTTTCTTGTGCCTGAGCATGCGGGCCCGGAGTGAGGAGCGGGGCGCGTGGGTGCGTTAGCACCGTCAGCGCGTGCCCCTGGGAGTGTAGCGTACGCCCGGAGCCGCCTGCCTTCACCCGACACTCGAATCTTCCATTATCGCGCTCGTATGACACGTTCGCCACCATCAGGTCGTATCTACCCTCAGTCGGCGCGAACGATATTCTAAAGAGAAAAGACAAATTATTATTAAGCCCTAGAAATTATAACAGTTTATTTTTTTATTATCAACAATATTATATAAAAAAAAAACAAGTTATCACTAAGCATTAGAATTTCTGTATCGAGTTATATTTTTATTATTATTAGGAATTAAACAAAGAAAGACTGTTTTAAGTAAATTAGTAATAAAACAATTTTGAAATGAAATTGTTTTTGCAACATAAAATATCATAAAGGTCTATTCACAACTGGGGAAAATATCATGTAAAATATCTTTAATTAATTAAAGGTTTCTTTAAATTTTTAAGTCGGTTAACATAAAGTAAACGTATCACAACTTTAAAACTACAAAACGAAACACTTCGGAATTGATTTGAGATATTTTATAAGGTAAATTTCTATACCTACTCCGGCAGTAATATATTGAAACACAATATATTCAGTATGGTTTACGTATCATTTACACATTACAGATATGTATATGTCTATACGAACAGTAACATGATGTTACTAAACTGACTACATTATCGAGACGTCCTGTACGCTAAGGAATATATTGTTTTGCTTCAAAAAGGAGATTCTCAATTTTTTATTTTGTGTGTGTATGAACCGCGATATTTTCGCCAATTGTTAATTGTTATATGCCTATTGTTTTATTCGAACCTTTTAAAATAAAAAATAAAAGTAATGAACATTTCTATTGCGTTTAATACACATAATGGTGTGAATTGCCAGTAATGTGGACTATCAGTCTCATTGCTAGTAATATACCTTATCAGGTCGATCTCCACGTGGTTTCCCCTAGAAACCATCGTACTGAATTTCAGGTGTATTTATCACGATGGGCTAACTGACCTGCCTTTTCATTCTCAGGTATCATCATTTACTGGTACCCCGCCTGCGCTAATGGTATACGCTGGCGGGGTTACCATTCAATTATCATCCATTAAGAAAAAATACACATAATGAAATATAATCATGATTAGAACTTGTCAATTGTACATAGGTATTAAGTGTAAAAACAACCACGAAAATCTAAAATTTATTGTATATCACGATATTTCTTATTTTAGGTATTATAAATTACAATATAATCGTTACAGACTCTGATGTATTAAAACATAGAATTAAAAAAAAAGATTATATAATGCTTATATCTTACAATAATAAATAGACAATTCCTTATTTGCAACAAATATGATGCCCGAGAATTTATCCTTATAATGTTACTTGAGTATGAGATTAAATTACCTGTGATACTCATTTCACAGATAACATAATACATGAAAATACCCATCTTTCTTTATAGAGGAAAAGAAAAAAGAGAAGACGTTTTATTTAAAGTTTCTTTCCTCATTACAAACGCATTAATACAATTATTGTGTTTGTTTTGAATAATTTATATAAAATTATGTATGTACTGCATAATAGTTATCATTTATACTTATTACAGAGGCAGACTATTATTATAATATGCGCCCACCTAGACAAAGCTGAGAGAGCACCATCTTAGTTCGAGAAGTTTTACCTAGTAAAGCTTTAATAGTTAATTTTAGCGAATGTTAGTACTTGATTTTTAATTCTTTATAAGATTCTCAAGTGCCTCTCTCGACTTTGGTAGGAATGACAAATGTTCTCACTTATAGAGATTAATAGTAATAGTATTAATTTTAATATTATTATATTTAGTTCATTGTAATGCAACGAAATAATGAGATTTCAAAAAAAAAATATCCGAATCATGAATTCATAAGCTTTATGAATAATAAAGATTGTTAATAAGGATGTTCTCCCTATTGTTGGTTACGAAATGACGAAAGGAATTGTTTTCACATTTGCATTGATTACATAAAAATTACAATAATTTTCATCTTAAGCCAACATTGACAAAACCATCAAGTCGTTAGTAATTCTATATTGAATTATACATGGCTATCTCGATACATAAACACGACGTTTGACGTAATAGAGTTCCAGAACACATAAGCCCGTTCAACCTAATATTTGTTATTGGCAAACAAGTTGCAAACTCGATGGGCTACCTAGATAAAGATTAGCTGTTTATCATAATGTTATAAGTATACCATGGCTGCCCCATGCAAACTTTTCAAGGACGTCGGTGAGACGGAAGTTGTTCGTTTCATAATATTATTTTTGTGGTACCGATTTTAGAGTATACTGATTCCGTGACTTTCGATCATAAATTATCCCGTAGGAACGTACTACCAGGTAAATACATTAACCTTAATTTTTTAAATCAAAAATTGTATTAATCTAATAGCTCTTGTTCTGAAGTGAAATAACATTTACTATTTGCGGATATACTATGGCAAGGTACATATGATGGGTGTCATGGGCAACACAGTATTATACTCTGTTATTACCACGTTAATATTTACGTCTACATGCGACGGTTATCTCTTTCCATCAGGTGGGCCGTTAACTTGTTTGCCATTCTAAGTTGTATAAAAAAATTAAGGAACATTTCTATGTCATTGTTAATTTAACACCTATTTTCTCGTCTTTAGTCTCGTAGTTATTGACAAGAAAGTGTGATCTTCATCCAACTTCGGTGAATTCTTTTAACTGTAATTTTAACATTGAATCCCCAAAAGAGGATGTCCCCGAAATATAGAAGAAAGCATTTTATAAAATGCTTTCCGCAATGGAATTTGGGCAATATTCACATTTTCATGTGTTACATATTCTAATAATCATTGTACCATATAATTAAATTTAATTCGATGCAGGCAGAATCTGAACTCCTAGTAGATTGGTCCCATAGAAATTTTATCAAAATCCGTTCAATAAAATTACTATTTTTTTTTAATCAAAATAGCTGGTTTTGCCACAATTCAAGTCGATCGTTTTTTGTAGACTGTGCACTGTGACATCGCAGTTTTTAAATACAATATATAAGACAACTTTTAGCTCTTAACAAGTAAGCGGCTACTTCTTTAATTACTATCTATTGAATAATGATTTTATTTGTATGTTTCAAAATATTTATTGTACCTACACAAAAAATAATAGTATGAACGGTCAAGGTAGACTAGACTTTACTACCAGTACATTTTAATTATATTTCCAAATTAAAATATTGCCAAATTCAGGACCATCCAGGACTTTAACTTGAGTGGCCATTACATGAGCTCGAATTTCACTCTTAGAACATTCTCGACAAAAATACAATCCGTTTATTTTTACAATTATAATTATTATAATGTGTACTTAGGAAACTTTTAACAACAATTTGTTAAGTATCTAAATATGTATAAATAAATATTAAAATGATATTTAATATAATCCCATAGTAATATTCTTACATATACGAATATAGGAAATATTCAACGTAAACTAAACCGATAAACATATTGATATTCTTACAATATCTGTATTATGTTTCATAATAGTTATACATTTTTACTTTGTTTTCTTTAGAGTGGAGCAATTTTATAAAAGTGAAATAGTATCTTGTCGATGGCGTCTTTACCTGTCGGGACTATAAAAACAGGGTAAATTTATTAAGGTGGAATTAAACTAAAATAACAAAAAGCACATAACAAGAGATTGAACAGAATAAGCACTAGATCAAAGAACCGAATAGGTAACCGTAAAAGAGTAATACAAACTACATACACATTTGTTCGTGAATATTATCAAGCAACGAAAGTCAAAAGAAAGTTAAAAAAAAAACCGTAAATAAAGACAAAAATTAAAAGAGAACAAGAATTTTCTTGCTTGATCTATTTCGATGTCGCCTAAAGCTTATCTGACATGTTTATCCAACGATGATCTAAACGAAAGACAATTATCACTATATATACTATATAATATATATAGAGTTTTATTTTTACTCCTTTCAAGGTGTCTTTTATATCACAAGACTAAGAGTTGTTTCTCAAATTTTCATTCACTTTTTTAGAAATTTAAAACGAATTAAGAACCTCTCTAATGAAAACTAGTAATGGCTGTCAACAAACTTAACTAATTTCAATTCCATAAACATTAAGCAGCTACGTTAAAATATTGCATTATAGATAACCTACTCGTATTAATACCAAGTTGTTGGTTTAGAAGTAGAGGACACTTATTCAGGAATAATATATTTTTTTAAGGGTGTCTAGAACATTTAATTTTTTACTCCTTACATTTTAATACATACATTTAAAAATACACTTAAAAATTTGGAATATGGTTAAATGAGTTGTTTTCCTTTATTAAATGCACTGCAAATAAATAACATAATCCATTTGCAGTACTTATTCAAATGAGGGTTACAGTGAGACCTAAGTAAAAACTAATTGTACTAGTTCAACTATTATCTATTTTGCAACGTTAAAAATCTGTTTATGAAATTAGGAATTTCTTTGAATAATAATATTAAGTCATGTAAACTTACTGATAGTTAGTCTCCAAGGGTATGTCGCCAATGGCCACATTGTCATGCCCGCTTGCCGTGTTCCGAACCCAATAGTATGTGAGTGACTCGAACGGCTCCAGTGAGAACCGGCACTGCATCGTGACGTCATCGCCCTCTCGCGCGTCGTGCTGCTCATCTTCTGCCCGGACTGTCCATCCTGCTAAAAAATAATTTAATTAATAAGTGGATATGACGTCTTAAAAACAAGTATATTTATTCGACTCGATAAATCCGATAAATCCCATTATTAACAATCCCCCTTCCCCACCCTTTACTACGAATTTGCCTTATTAATTAATTATAAACTCATTATGAACACTTATTTTTGCCAGTAAAGTAATGTAAAAAGGATATTATTTTGTCTAAATCTAAGTCACAATAGATAATCATTTATTCATAAAAAAACAGTCTTTCTCTATAAAATAAATTTCATAAAACAGACAATATATAACCGTTATATAGTTTTTATAGGTTCTATTGAAACAAAATATACATATTATGTATAGTTATTTTCAATAGAAACTAATAAAAAGTTGATAAAACTGAAAATAAAACAGTAAATGAAATTTATAAAAAATCGAAACAATAATTTTTTTTTATTTGTACTACTACTTGTGTTATATACCAGCAGCATCTTATGGTTGGGTAAATTTTTCGTTTGTTCACATTTTTACTAATTTCTATTGAAACAAAACTATAGAATCGAAATTATCGAGCTATAGTACAAACTACATATGCGTCGAAGATCTGGACGTACTTTTTGCATAGATAAATTATACTCGAATACCGTCATCAATTGACTTTTTGCAATCGGATTACAATAAAAATAAAATCTATATATGGCACTTTTTATGTGACAGTATGCTGTTGCTAGAAATATTCAGACTAATTTTGACCGGTTAGGACTACGTACTGTGACATCTAAATCTTCATGGCAAATACCTCCATTAGTAAAAACTGCCATTATGCAGTATACATTTGGAAATCTATCTATTCCATAATGGTTCCGTCGTCTCTTGTTTATAAACTAGTTGTATCGCGCGGTTTCAACCACGTAATAATGTTAAGTTAGGTTACAATCTGTCCGTGTAATAAATTTCATTAGAAGCCATTCAGTAGTTTTTACGTGAAGGAATAACAAACATCTGACTATATGTATATTTTAAAAAAATTTTGCGTTAAAATAGTGAAAGAAAAAGAATTACCTAAGTACATAATGTTATCTAAGTATGTATATGCTTTGTTCACTTTCATGAAATATTTTGTGGTCACCACACAATTGTATATGGTACATACTGCAAACTTTTTTGATCTCGGACTACATACAATGAAGTTCTAAATAAAGATGAAACCACTAAAAAACAATCATGAATATTTTAATATAATATACTTATGAGATAATGGCTGTTCTCGCGCCCTTGCTCTACTGAATCTGTACATATAGTATTATATATGTTAAGATAGAATATAACCTGCCAGTGTACAAAATTTCATTAAAATTCGTTAAGCTGTTTAAGCGTGATTGAGTAATAACCATATAAACATCTTTACAAACTTTCATTTTTAAAATATTTGTAAAAGAACTTATTATTCTTCTCTAAAAAAACAACGACCATTTATTGATATTTTATCTTTATTTTTAGTTTATTTATTATATTCTTTACTAATTTACTAGCTGGCGCAACAGTCTTCGTCCAATCAAAATATATGCTATGTATATAGTAAGTAGAGGATAATATTGTGTAAGTCCCTAAATTGTTCTATGAACATCTCACCGGACTAATGTTTGCGTGAAGTACATACTACAAACGTCAAGTAGGAACATATGCTACAAATTGCCACCAAAACACATATCCGTTATACATGAGTGTGCTCAATATTATAGTATCAACTACTAAATGTGGAATACTATATCATTACCATCAGACTATATACTGTTGTAAGTTTTCCTATGTGAACATATTTCATGGAAAAGAAATATTCTAACCTATCATGATCAGACATAGAAGGTGTGCTGTTTGAGAGATTTATGAAAGCGTATGGAGTAAGACATGTACATATTTAGAACAAAGGCTTTTCAGAGTCGGCTCTATTTGCTCGCCCCGTAAAGGACTTAGAGTGAAGATTAATTAATTAAGTAAATTGAAGTATTTTAGGTCATCTATTATAGTTTGTTTTTTTTTCCTAATTTAACAAAATTCTTACATATCAAAATACAAACATTTGTAGTTGTAATGTTAACAGAATAATATAAACTAATATTATAGAGAGCAAAGATTTGATTTTCTCTTTGTAAATTGATAAACTCAAACATAGTTACCAGGTTTTAAAAATTCTTTCACCAATAAAAAGCTATTAGTTCAGCGAGTAATACAGACTGAAGTTATTTTATTTACAAAAAAAAAGGCTTACAATAATCGCAACTATTTAATCGCGTGAAATTTTGGTAGGTCGCAATTTATACTAAAATTTTAAAAAAGAAAGATTAGATTGTTGGTTTGTTTGTAACGGATAAACTCAAAAACTACTCAACAAATTTGAAATTTCAAACTCAGCAAGTGACACAGCATATACATTTTTTTCAAAAATTTTATCTACCCATACGAATCGTGTCGCTTGTAATAAATAAAAACACTGAACTGTTCGGCTCACAAACTTGGATACATTTCACCATGAGAAACGAGACGAAACATCTGAGAGTATAACCCAAAATCCCTAACGCTGAATTAATTCTGAAACGTTCAATTCCTATAATGGCCCGACGAGGTTCGGACCCGGATGTTTATTTATGCGAAGCAACTTGCTTAATTACTACGCTACAACGGTTTATTGCACATTGAAATATTACAAATTAATAAAATTAAAATGATATGTATATAAGGCATATATTAAATAAGGCAAAATGCGTTTAAAACGACCTCTTCAGTTAATTATGAACAGGGTTTTATAACCACATACGAACCCTTATATACATACATAACTATATATATAGTATAATAAACATCATAAACAATCTTCATATCTTTTCGTCGTTCGCTTCATAATATTTCACCAATATGCAGATAAGGATGGAATATTTTATAACTTATACATCATATTTCACGTTGTACAATTTCATTTATATTTAGGTGCATATGTACATATCTATGTACACGCATCTGTGACTTCTAAACGAACACTAATACTAATATATATATATATATATATATATATATATATATATATATTTGAGGATAGTAAGGAGACATTCACATAGGTAATACATTTTTATGTAACAGTAAGTTCATCTGTCTGTCTGTTACATATTCAGGCCGAAATAAATTAAATTAAATGAAGAATTAGTAATACTCTGTAATATAGATAGATACATACCTAGATTTAGACTGACCAATCTATCAATAAAAGTTCTTACGAGTACATATGGAAAAATGTATAAAAACATGTAACAATCAGTAACCGTCATGAAATTTGGTGTACACATATTAGTTGAAATGGAGAAAGATGTAATTTACTATTTATCACGGTCAATCAACATAGTTCGGTTACGTGCACAAAGTCGCGGATAAAAGCTAGTAAGATATATAAGTATATTTAAGACTAACTTGATGATGACTGATTGAGCAGTTAAAGCGCCAAACTTTAACAAACACTTTCTCTTTACAATATTATATTAACTAATGTCCACAACTCTGTGCGTGGATTTTAGAAGTAGGCGAGCAAATATATGTTCTTCTAGATACATAAAACATACCGTGTCTAATTTATGTTATATTTACGTATAAAGTTAAATATATTTTTCACTAATAAAGAAAATACAAGTCTTATTTTTAAAACTTATATTCATTTTTTATCCAATGTCTATATATTTCCGGATGAAGTCTAAACAGTAGTCGAAAACGGCAAAACAGAGCGAGTTAGTTAATTTCCCGTTATATATGTATATAGACAACATAGACATCAAACACAGTCTACATCTTTTAGGGATATGATTTCCTATCTATCTATTTATTCAATCTACATCAATCCACTGCTGGGCATAGGTCGCCATTTTATCGCGCCTCTTGTAACGGTCCTTTTCTAACCTCATTCCTATATAATAATTTCCTATTATAACAAATATTGCGGGAACGGATCACAAATAACTGCTAATTGTATAATTGTAATAAAAAGGCATTACGTAACGTGATTGCTTTCTAATAACTAGATCGGTAAAACTTTTCTTTGACAAACTGATTGCTATTTCTAATTTTAGTTCCTAAATCGTTTTGTAGCGGCAGTGCCAACATTAGCTCGTCAAACTCTTTTAGATAATAAAAAACATATAAAAAATTGGCTTCTTTAAATAAAATATGTCCATGTTACTAGCTGATATAACTTTTTATAGGTGAAAATATTTTTAAAATCGCTTAAATATTTTTGAGTTCATCCATTATGAATAAAATTATATTTTTTTTTATAATATTGGTTTATAGATAATGCATATAATATTATAATAAATTGATGATATTATCCATTAAGACTTTTTTAGAATATCATAAGATTATCAGTAGGTAGCATTTAAATGAAAATATCCAGTAAATGGTAATAACTTAAAAAAAAAGCCACTTTCACAAACAGTATTTATTCATTAAAGACAGACGCCATATGTATACCTACAGGCAAACCTCCACAAATATTCTCAGAATTCGATGCTGGTTCAATTCTTAACAGTTTTTTCCTTATAGTATATTCAAATGTACTCCCGGCTCGCAACAGGCACTTTCTTATTGAAGAAATGTTAATTTTAGAACGGGGAACATAAATGTTAGGATTTTAGAGTAACAAGTAGGTTTCATAAAATATTATCAATAATAATTTGGGATTAACCAAGTAAGTTGGCAAAGACTCGTGCCTCTTCCTCCTATTCCTGGATACTTCTACAACTTGATATTAATACAAATTTGAGATGAACTACCTCCTCCCCCTACCTCTACATAGCGAAGCTTCCTGTTGTAAAATAAATAATACATATTTTTAAATGTTTATAGTCAAGTAAGTGGTGTAAACGATGTGTAATATCGTTTCATCATCTGTAGGTAGGTGCAAGGAAAAAATGGAGTGTTTATTATGTTCGAAACTATAATTTTATATTTAAAGTTTGATCATCATTAAACTTTAACA